TAAATGGGGCAAGTGCTACAGGGTCCAGTGATTTAAAAGGGCCTAGGGCTCCCAGCCGCCACTATAGCAGCAACAACAGCTGCCGGAGCCTGGATCTTTTAAAATGACACTGGGACCACAGCTGGCACTGAAGAGCTGGCTGGGGGGATGCCAGCTCCCATCCTCACTACTTCTGTCTAAGGCCCCGCCCCCTTCCAGAGGTCTGGAGCCATCCCCAGCCTTGCCTAGGGTCAAGCAAAGTCTGTCAGACAGGCAGAGAGCAGAGATTCCACTCTGGGTCTCTCACATCCACCTAGTTGGACACCCTGACCCCGGGCTATTGGTTGTAATGCAAGGAAGGAGGGTGGGGGGAGAGGGTCCCTCTCTGGTTCTAGGCAAGGAAGAGCTGATTTGATTCAACTGAGGGTTTTAACACTGAGAATCCTGACCAGAGAAAGGCACCTAACTCCAGCCGTGAGCTAAGCATGTGAGGTGCAGATCAATGGGAGTGAGGGGCCTAAATCCCTTTGTGAATCTGGAACATGATCCCAGCCCTTTTTCCTTTGAATGTCTCTGTCTGGCACAGGAGTTTGCTTGCTCAGCATGCGAGGTTGTGAGGAGCGATTTGTTAGGTGCCTAGCTCTGCCTATGCATTATACTGGGAGCCTGGATGCCAAGCGTTGGGCTGTGAGGATCTCTGGCAACAGAACACCTCCCAACTCTGTGATTCCAGCACTAAGCTCCTCAACCATATGAGTGGTTTGTAAGATGTTACCCACCAGCCAGGAGTCAGAGCCACTCACATGAGCTTCTTGCTGCTGACAAGTCTGTGAGTTCCCTACCTGCCATAGAAATCAACACACAGCGACACAAAGGACAATTCTTAAAGTCCCACCACTTCACGACTTCTGATCAGGAAATCTGACAATCACAGCCCTGCCTGAGAGTACGTCTACCCTACAGCGCTAATTCGAACTAACTTAGTTCGAATTAGTTAATTCGAACTAAGCTAATTCGAACTAACGCGTCTAGAACTAAAAACTAGTTCGAATTAGCGTTTTACTAATTCGAACTAGCATGTCCACATTAAGTGGACCCTGAACCGAGGTTAAGGATGGCCGGAAGCAGGGCCGGCAGGGCATCAGAGGAGGACTTAGAGCATGGAGATGCTGTCTCGGGCTAGCCGAGGGCTGCGCTTAAAGGGTCCCGACCCCCACCCCGGACAAACAGTTCTCAGGGGTGCCCCGCTTGCAAAGCAGTCCTGGCTTGGAGTGCCCTGAGTACCCACACTGGGCACATCACACCACTCGGCCATCAGCCCGGCTGCACTTGCCGCAGGCTGCCATCTGGGGAGAGGGGGCAATTGGGGTGCTGCAGGAGAGCTTCCACACCCAGAAGCCCGCAGAGCCAGCCCAGTCCTCCCCATCAGGGGCACGTACCCCATTCCTCCCTCACCTCCTTCCACTTACCCTTCCCTAGCCCCTCTTCTTGATGTACAAAATAAAGATAACGTGTCTTCCAAAATGGAATCTGTCTTTATTGAACAAAACTGGGGGAGACTGGGAAAAGGAGGTGGAAGAGGGGAAGAGAG